CGAAGAATTTCTGCACCCCTTCTTCAACCGCTTCGTCTTCTTCAATTCGTAGTGCCGCCATTTGCCGTTCCAACACCACCGCTACCGCCGCTGTTGCAGGAGCATGTACACCCTTGAGAGCAGCCCATGCCTTTGGTCCTTTCTCTGGTTCACGCTGGAATGGCTTGATGTGACGGATCTGACTGCTCCCCAACGCTTGCCCAAGTAAGAGATAGCCTTGTGCGCTCTTCCGCACCCACGGGCTCTTCTCCGGGTCGTTCTCGGGGCGCTTCTCCGTTCCTTCCATCACCTCCAGCAGGTCATAGTAGTCAAAGATGTTCTCCATCTTGAAGGACCATTCAGCAAAGTTGTCACCGTTGAACTTGTCAAGCCCAAACACCCTAGGCTCATCCCTAGGTGGGCCAAGACTTGGTTGCATGGGCGCCATGGCTGAATCACGGGGTTGGCCTTGAGCTTGAGCTTCTCCACTGCCACCAGCACCTCTGCCACCCCTTTCCTCAGGTCCAGCAATTGTCGAAACTGCTCCAAGGGCTCTGATACAACTTGTTATAGTCACAGTAGGCTCCAATGTGCCTAAAACGAAAGATAGAGTGCACAGCCGGATTTCTGCACAGCGGCTTCAAACGTTCATAGCGTTCTGGTCACGGCTTCAAATGACCTGATTCAACTTGGATCTGGCGCGTCTTAATGTCGCCTACAATAGGCAATTTAGATCGCACGATTCGACCAAGTATTGACGACACAGCGTCGGTTTGAACGAACGGCACTATGGCAGCCACTATAGTCTTAGAACACAAGATAGGAAGAGTTAGCAAGGGTTACGAGTTGGGAATGACTCCCAGCTCCTACAAACCCCAAGAGCCGAGGTACAGTGATGTGGAACAGTGCCACACTGTCCCCAACCACGAAGGGTCTCGAAACTACCCTTCATTAGGGCCTACACCAAGTGAAATGTTACACTACACAAAGTAATGTAACCATCTTCAATATCTTGAGGTGTACCCTTTTGGCGAGCTTCGAAATCACTTGAGGCTTGACACCAAGGCTCGGGCTCTTCATCACAAAATCATCCTTGAGTTCTTGATGGGTCTGCTGCACACACCTGCGACACACCGAACGTTCGACACAGGACAAAATAGAAACCGCGCACGACAAAATAGAAACCGCGCGCGAGACACAAACGACCGCGTAACACGCGTCTAGCGATAACTCGCTATTGACTCGACACACACACTCGACATCATGACTCAACATTCACACACAATTATAAGCATGAAATATATATTATCCCATGCCCTCATACCATTCCATACACACACACATTCACGCACACGGACAACAAGCCGAGTGCAAACCGTAGGGTTGCACCAACACTGCTGCACGTTGCCGCTCAGCGTGACTACGAGCTTCACTCTCTTGACTTCAGCACAGCTTTCTTACAGGGCAGCCTGCACGAGGAGATCTGGCTGCGCCGCCCACCTGGCTTCACTGGGTCGTTCCCTGCTGGTACCCAGTGGAGCCTCCGGCGGCCGGTCTACGGTCTCTGCCAGGCGCCGCGTGAGTGGCACGACACACTGAGGATGACACTTGCGGCTCTTGGGTTTTCTCCGTCGACTGCTGACCCGTCGCTGTTTCTGCGCACCGACACTTCGCTGCCGCCGTTCTACATCCTCGTATACGTCGACGACTTGGTCTTTGCCACTGCTGACACTGAGGCTCTCGCCCTGGTGAAGTCGGAGCTGCAGAAGAGACATACGTGTACAGACCTGGGTGAGCTGCGCAGTTACCTTGGCTTGCAGATCACCCGGGACAGAGCACGCCGCACCATCACACTGACTCAGTCATACATGGTGCAGCAGGACCTTCAGCGCTTCGGCTTCACCTGGTCCTCGGCACAGGCCACTCCTCTGGCTACAGGTCACTCGCTCTCAGCTCCACCTTCGGACGAGTCCGTAGAGCCGAGTGGTCCTTACCCAGAGCTAGTGGGCTGCCTCATGTACCTGATGATCTGCACTCGTCCTGACCTTGCGTACCCTCTTGGCCTTCTGGCTCGCTACGTGGCTCATGGTCGGCACCGAAAGGTGCACATGGATGCTGCTAAGAGGGTACTACGCTACTTGTGCAGTACATCGGGCATGGGGCTCGTGCTTGGAGGACGGAGCGACGTTGTCCTCGCTGGGCACTCAGACGCTTCTTGGGTTGACGACCAGGCTATGCAGCGGTCGTGACAGGGTTACACCTTCAGCCTTGGCTCTGGTTCGGTTTCTTTGCGTTCTACACGCTCGTCTTCAGTTCTCAGCTCCAGTTGTGAGGCTGAGATCTACGCCACAGCCATGGCTGCACAGGAGTTACGCCGGCTCATCTACCTGCTGACCGACTTGGGAGAGCGGCCTCGTTCTCCTCCATTGCTGTACGTCGACAACAAGGCCGCCATTGCCTTGTGTCAGGAGCACAGACTGGAGCACAGAACGAAGCACATCGCTCTGCGTTACTTCCTGGCTCGAGAGTTGCAGCAGCGTGGTCAGCTTCGTCTTGCTCACGTGTGTCAGAATGTGATGTTTGTCTAGCCTGCAGTGGGGTACTCTATAGCGAGTACAACCCAATGAGGGTTTCCTATATGTATCTCAACTGCTGCTAGTGAAAACCCTTCTTTCCTGTTTCTGATTCTTGCCTAGGATTTCAACATGTTATCAGAGCAGGTCGACCCCCCCGGGTCGATCCTGAGGATGGGCCCACCGTTAGCTTCCGCTGCTGTCATGCCTATCGCGCGCCTCGGGCGCGCTTCGTTTTCTGCCTGCCGCGCGCTCGGGGCGCGCGGCGTTTTTTCTTCCCGCCGCGCGCTCGGGGCGCACGGCGGTTTTCTGCCCGCCGTGCGCCCCGAGGCGCGCGGCGGTTTTCTGCCCCGTCGATCCGCGCGTCGCCCCCCGTCGCCCGTCGCAACGCCCCTGGGGACCCGCGCGTCGCCCCCTGTCGCGCGTAGCGGCCCGCGCGACCTGCGCCAGGCCCGCGCGCGACCCGTACGGGCTGCGCCAGGCCCGCGCGCGGCCCGTACAGCCCGCGCACGGCCCGTACGGGCTGCGCCAGGCCCGCGCGCGGCCCGGGCAGCCCGCGCGCGGTTCGTCCCGAGCTTCTGACCGCGCCCCACCCCCGCTGCTGCCTGCGCTCCTGTGTTAGGGTTTGGGGGTGGAGAGTATGGGGGTGCCGGGTGTGTGAGCCGTCCCCTGCTCCTCCTCCTCCTCCGTCTCCCACTGCTGCAGCTGCCTCTGAGCGGGGTGGATGTGTTGGAGCCGTCGGAGTGGTACGAGGGGGGTGGCGTGTGAGCAGTGCTAGAGGTGCAGCAGGGAGTGTGTGAAAGGGGTGTGGGACAGTTGGGGGAGGTTGACCGGAGGTAGCCGTTGTGACGTCAGCAGCGTCAGTAGTTTGGGGGTTGAGTACTCCGGTAGCCCAGCGAGCCTGCTGCTGCCAGTCGCCCGTGGGTCTGTTGCTCCTGCTGCTGCTTAGCGCGGAGCCAGTTACTCCTGTAGTCCGGAGGTTGAGTGCTCCGGTAGCCACCGTGCGCGCCGTTCCTGTTGCCCGTGTGTCTGCGGCTTCACCAGACGCCTCCTATCTCCACTCCTCTCACAGTTCCTCCTCCTCCTCACTTGCCCTCTGTGACTGCCTCTAGCTTTGCTTGTATTTGTGAACCTACTGCTCTGCGTGCTTGCTGTGCTGATTATACCCCACTTTGACTATGGGGGTGTGTCAGAATGTGATGTTTGTCTAGCCTGCAGTGGGGTACTCTATAGCGAGTACAACCCAATGAGGGTTTCCTATATGTATCTCAACTGCTGCTAGTGAAAACCCTTCTTTCCTGTTTCTGATTCTTGCCTAGGATTTCAACAACGAGGCCACTCGGGCCAACACTGCTGATATATTCACCAAGGCGCTTCCGTCTGGTGATCATCAGCGTTTCTGCACTCTGTTAGGCCTTGTGCCCAAGTTTCCTCACTTGCTGTAGACTTTGCTTGTACTGTGATCTATATATATACCTGCATGCTTGCTCTGCTAGGTAGAGATCACTGTGCTGTTGTTGTTGCATATATACCTCTGCATGTGAACTGGCCTTGTGGCCCTTTGCTTGTGCTCAGTGTGTGTGGTGACGTTGTGATCCACCCTGAGCTTGCTTTGCTTCTCTTGACTGGTCTTGTGACCCCTTGCTTTCCCCCACTTTGCCTATGGAGGTGCGTCAAAGTATATGCATGTTATATATGTGTAGGCTGTAGTGGGGTAGCCAATATGGGGTACAACCCCTTTTAGGGTTTCATATTTGTACCCAATACTTTCATAGTTCAATCATTCCTGCTGCTAGATTCAGACAGCATGATGACCAAAGGGGTTCCCCCCCACTGGTATGCAGTGTAGATCTATGTGCAGTCACTAGAACCCAGTGGGAAACATGCATGCTTGCAAAGGGGGGGATGGAAGATGCACAAGGGGAGATAGGAAGGCTTGCAAATGGGGGGATAGAAGGCACACACCGAAGAAGGGAGACAGAAACGAGGGAAGGGAGACACAACAAAAGTGGGGAGACACAAACGAGGTAGGGGGATGGAGAGAGGGGAAGAGTTTTGGCATGAGGATTATAAGTCTTTTGCACCATGTCAACTGAACCCTAGCAACGGTGTAGGAAAATCCCAAGCCTAGGTGAGAGAGGAAGGGGACCTCCCCTTGAATGGGGGGGAGAGACTGTGAAGGCAGGTACTTGCCGCTGCACCCATATTGGGAATCGTGTTTTATAGCATTTGCGCCCACCTGCGCGCAATAAGGAAGAAGTGGGGGTAGGAAGGGGCGGATGGATGGGGGAGATAATTTTTTGGTTGGTGGACTGAGATTGATGAGAGACGGAAATGAAGGATGAAGTTGGCGAATGTATGAACGGAGATGGGGATGAGATGATGAAAGGGGGATAGGAAGGTGGGAATGCGCAGTGGGAGGGGTGAAATGAGAGTAGCGAGGCGGAACTAAATGGAGGGAAGGGATGTAGTAACTAGGGAAGGGAGGCAAATATGAGGGAAGGGGAGGGGAGGGATGGAAGGCCCGCAGAGAGGGGGGGAAGGAAGGCATGAGCGGGGGGGAGAAGGAAGGCATGAGCGGGGGGGGGAAGGAAGGCATGAGCGGGGGGAAAGGGAAGGCACGCATAAGGGGGGTAGGAAGGAAGGAGTGGGGGAAAAGGAAGGCCCGCATAAGGGGGATAGGAAGGCAGGGGTGGGGGAAAGGGAAGGCACGCATAAGGGGGATAGGAAGTCAGGGGCGGGGGAAAGGGAAGGCATACATAAGGGGGGAAGGAAGGCATGAGCGGGGGGGAAAGGACGGCACGCATAAGGGGGATAGGAAGGCATGGGCGGGGGAAAAGGAAGGCACGCATTAGGGGGGAAGGAGAGCACGAGCGGGGGGGAAAGGAAGGTACGCATGGGGGGAAAGGAAGGCGCGCACGGAGGGGACGGAAGGCGCACACGGGGGGAATGGAAGGCGCGCACGGGGGGGAAGGAAGGCGGGCACAAGGGGGGAAGGAAGGCGTGCACGGGGGAAAGGAATGCGCACTGGGGGAAGGAAGGCGCGAACGGGGGGAAAGGAAGGCGCACACGGGGGGAAAGGAAGGCGCGAACGGAGGGAAAGGAATGCGCGCACGGGGGGAAAGGAAGGCGTGCACGGGGGGAAAGGAAGGCGCGCATGGGGGGGGGTTGGGGGAAAGGAAGACATGAGCGTAGGGAAACGAGGCGAATGTGAGGGAAAGGTGGCGAATGGGAGGGAAGGTAGACGAATGTGAGGGAAGGGAGTCGGATGAGAGAGAAGGGGAGGCATGCAGGGGCTTGATGTAATGCACCGATGGAGGCGCATATGAGGAATGGGTGCCGCCAGCGCTTGAATGGTGGCGCTGAACCTTGGACACAGGGACCCCGACAATGTGACACATGCGGCAGACGGGACCTCAACACCGGCTAATCAAGTGGCATAACCAATCTTCGGAGTGACCAAGATACGCACGTGGAAGGAGTGGGGCGTAGCCTTACGAGATCGCTTCGAGCACGTATCAGCCTCGGAGCAAGCTCGCATGAAGCTGCGTGCCTGGTCGCAGATGGCATCTGTCCAAGACTACACAGCGTCATTCATGGCATTCGCCGACCAAGTGGACGATATGTCGGAAGCGGAGCGGTTGGATAAATACATCAGCGGCATTTAATACGAAGTACAGTACGATGTGCGCCGATGCCGCCCGACATCGTTCCTGGAAGCAGCACGGCTGGCAGAGTCTATGGATGCACTGATGCAGTATGCAAGAGCAGCTTCCCGGGAGGGAATCCGTTTCGTGGCCAGACCCAACGGACCACAATCAACGCCGTCCATACAACCGGCTGCCCTTTTAAGGGACCGTGCTACCGGTGTGGGAAGACGGGTCACTACATGAGCGACTGCCCCGAGAAAACACCGCGAAGGGGGACGAAAGGAAGGAGGAGGGAAATGGGAAGAGTCATAAATTAACGGGCCCCTTACTGACTGTGCTCCGTCGCCCGAACCCCACCATCCCCACCGAGTCGTGGTTCCGATTCATGCAATCGATCGCACTCGGCCGAAAAACGGGGATAATCATGTGGATCACCCTGTGCTAGTCGCTGGTAAGGTGTTAAAAAATAATCTGAAAATGTTCGTCGACGGAGGGGCCAGCCATAGCCTCTTCAACTTGGCGACAGCAAAAAAATGCAAGCTGCAACTTGACAGGTGTCTGCCCGAAATTGACGCTCGCCTCGTGGATGGGACGTCTCTGGCGATTTTGGAGGAAACACGGACGGTGCGGATCGAATGCGGTGACGATTTCGGTTTCAGCATGAAGTTTCTCGTGACGACACTGGACGGCTGCAACGTGCTGCTGGGACGTGATTGGCTGCGAAAGCACAACCCCGTCATCGACTGGACAACGAGATTGTGCTGCATCAGCAAGCACGAGGGGCTAATTAAACTGCCTGCATGTGTCAACGGGAGTTGTGTTTGGCCCCGTCCTCGCTTGGGCGGAGCCGACCGTGGGAGCCACGAAATCGCAGTGGCCCGTGGGAGCCACGAAATCGCAGTGGCCCGTGGCAGCCATGAAATCGCAGTGGCCCGTGGGAGCCACGAAATCGCAGTGGCCCGTGGCAGCCACGAAATCGCAGTGGCACGTGGGAGCCACGAAATCGCAGTGGAGGACCGCGGTGGCCGAGAAACCGCGGGAGGACCGCGAAATACCCGGTCAACCAGGATACCCGGGCGACGTGCGCGAAAGTCGCCGGGGATGTTGTCTGCGAGGACGACCTCGGGGGTGGTATCCCGAGGTCGACGTGGCTGGTGGGCGCCGTCACGGGTGAAGTGTCTGCGCTGGGCGTGTGACTGGGAGTTGGGCGCCAACCAGCTGCACGCACCTGCGAAGCTGGTGCACCGTTGTCCCGCGGATGCGACGCTGTGCAGCCGACATACTGCAGCGTTGGCGCACCGCGGACTTGCAACGTTGGCAAGCCGCGACTCTGCTCTGCTGGAGCGCGGTCGACCAAGTCGTGCTGGCACGCGGTCGACCGTGCTGCGCTGGCAGTGGACCAGCAGCCTTGCTAGGTCTGATGTAGTCATTGTTGCCAATGTTGCTGAAATCATTCTGAACTTTTGGTGTTATGTTTTCCTAGTGAAACTCTTGCCGATTTTCCCCGTGAACTAGCAAGCAGTGTTAGCACTTGGAAACGACTAAGGAACGAACGAACGCTACGATCACTCTTGCCCCATGCCTAGCCCGCAGTCTAGCTCCCGTTGCTCTAGTTTTCTCCGCAGCATGAACACCTGACTACATCCAAGCCCCGTGCGTCAAAGCCATCACAATGGCTTGCCACTTCAACCGAGGCGCGCAGCTGTTCGTCGTTTGCTTGCGCGAGTTGGCAGCTGTTACTGACGGAACAGACATCGAGAAGTTGTGCGCAGCTGTACCACCGAATTTAGCGGAGCTAATTCGACAGTACTCGGACATCTTCCCCGACGATCTGCCACCTGGACTGCCACCCAAGAGACCTGAGGACTACAAAATCCAGCTGGAACCTGGCTCACAGCCGACTGTTCGGACACAGTGGCGATTGACCCAGCCGGAACTCGAGGAACTGCGAAGTCAAATTGACGCACTGTTGGAGAAAGGGTTCATCAGACCCAGTACGTCACCCTTCGCAGCACCGATCCTGTCCACTCCAAAAAGGGACGGCGAGCTTCGCATGTGCATCGACTATCGCGCGCTAAACCGGGTGACAATCAAGTCTCGCTACCCAATTCCACGTACCAACGACCTTCTCAACCAACTTCACGGCGTTCGCTACTTCTCGAAAATCGACTTTCGTGGCGGTTACCATCAGATTCGGGTCTTCGCCGACGATTGCCATAAGACCGCATTTCACACCTGCCACAGAAGCTACGAGTTCACTGTGATGCCATTTGGCCTGACAAACGCGCCATCAACATTTCAACTGACCATGAACAGGGTTTCCGAGAACTTCTCGACAAGTGTGTTATCGTCTACTTGGACGATATTCTGTTTTTTAGCAGGACGCCGGAACAACACCTCCGCGATCTCGACGCAATGTTTAAGCAGCTACAGGAGAACCGCCTCATTACTAAAGGTTCTAAGTGCGAGTTTTTTTAGCATGAGTTGGAGTTTTTGGGACACGTTATCTCCCGCGGCGGCATCAAAATCGACCCGGCGAAAATCAAGACTATTCAGGAGTGGAAGTCCCCGACCAACATCACGGAAATTCAAAGTTTTCTAGGGTTCGTGAATTACGTCAGGCGGTTTATCCCGAACATGGCGGGGATAACCGGACCGCTAACCGACCTGCTGCACAAGGACAGGAATTTCTTGTGGGGGAGAAGCTGATGTGGCTTTTCAGGAGTTGAAGAATTTTCTCGTTTCCCCTCCGGTTTTGCGCATCGCCGACCCATCGAAGCCGTTCGAAGTCATCACCGACGCCTCAGATTTCGCCATCGGAGCTATACTTCTCCAAGATTTCGGGAACGGGCTATAGCCGATCGCCTACGAGTCACGCAAGCTGTAGTCAGCCGAGCGCATTTACCCGATACACGACAAGGAGATGCTCGCAATTATACACGCGTTCAAACTGTGGCGCTGCTGCTTGGTAGGCGCTGACGCACGGACCACAAATCCCTACAGTATCTGCGAGCTCAGCCCAACCTCAATCCGCGCCAAGTTCGTTGGCTCGACTACATGGAGAGCCACTTCACCTACCACATCACGTACAAGAAAGGGGCGAATAACATCGCCGACGCCCTTACCCGACCGACAGTCCAATCCGCTGCAGTACTCATCACCCATTCGAACTCGCTACTTGCGGGACTGTTCACCCATGTCTACACTTCGGACCCGTTTTTCACGACTGGAAATCATTAGCAGGCCACGACGCAGAAGGGGAACTATTGCCTAAAAGCCGGAACTGACCGAATTTGGGTTCCCGCTTACCGGCTGCTGCGTGAACTCCTTATCCAGGAGGTCCACGACTCCAACTTCTCCGGACATTTCGGGGTTGATAAAACCCAGAAATTGTTGCACCGTCAATATTATTGGCCTGACTCCTCTAACGGCGTGCCGCGATATGTGTCCTCATGCAAAATGTGCCAAGCCATGAAATCGACACGTCAACGGCCAGCTGGATTGCTGCAATCCCTTGAGCCACCCGAACGACCGTGGCAGCAGGTGACGATGGATTTCGTCACGGGGCTGCCAGCTGGGCCGTCCGGCAACGACGATGTTCTCATCGTCGTCGATTGCCTCAAGAAAATGGCGCACTTCGCACCATGTCATACAACCATCACAGCCGAAGAAACTGCGCGCCTATTCATCTCAACCGTCGTGCGTCTACACGGAATTCCCTCGGCGATCATAAGCGACAGGGACCCGAAGTTCACGTCAAAGTTTTGGAAGGAAACGTGGGCGCAGTACGGCACGAAGCTACGGTTTTCGTCTGCATACCACCCGCAAACGGACGGCCAGACCGAGCGAACCAATCAAATGATGGATTAGCTGATCAGGACAAACTGCCCCGACCCCGCTCGTTGGGAAACCTCGCTGGCCATGCTGGAGTTCGCGTTCAACAACGCCCCGTTCAGCACGACTAATCACTCCCCGTTCTTCTTAAATTACGGGACGGACCCGGTGGTGCCTACAATGACTACACTTGACAACCCGGTCCCGAGGTCACAGACTTTAGTGTCAAAGCTCCAGGAGATTCACGAAAAGGCGGCCGATGCAATCCGCAAGGCGAATACCACTGCCCGGAAGTACACCGATCTTCTGTGAAGATAAATTATCATGACAGCTGGGCAACTCGTACTGCTCGACACGAAAAACCTTCGCCTACCCGGCTCGTCGAAACTACAGCCACGATTTTGTGGGCCTTTCAAGATCATTCAGATGGTGACACCTGTCACCGCGAAGCTGCTGCTACCCGATGATTGGCGTATACACGACGCCTTCCACGTCAGCCTCCTTCGCAAGTTCGTGCCTGCCACGACCAACATTGCGCGCCAGAACAACGCCCCGACAGCACGACCTATCGCAGAACCGACACTCGACCCGTCCAAAATTTTGGCACATCGTGTTCGGCTTGATGCATCTGGAGGCCACGTTGATTTTTTTATCCGTTAAACTAACCGCACCAGTGAAGACGACATTTGGGTGCCATCTGCCTTGCTTGAAGCGTCCTCGCTCGTTGGTGATTACCTCGCCTGCAAGCGAGCTGCGGATATCGACCACCATTCTTAAGGGGGGGGGGGGTAGTGTAAGGATTTTTTCCCGAATTCCTTATCGGGCTTGACTGCTATGCGTACAACCCCGATTTTCGGACTTGCACGTTCGGTCGACATCCACGATGCCGAGGCTCCTCGCGTCGCCTTCGGCTTTCC